AAAATGCTGTGGAATTTCTTTTGCAAATAAAAATATACTAGCAATTTTCTATTAATGGTTTATTCAAGTGGGCAAAATATAAATGTACAGAAGAATTGCCCGTATACACTGAAAAGTAAGCAACCGACAGCCTGTATAAAAGGGGGACTGTGATTGGCTGTTACTTACGCGAGATTTGAACGGGACTTACATAGGCGTCGGATCAGATGTAGGTAGGGCGGAATTAAAAAAATCAAAATCAAAGTAAAATAATAAAATAAAAGGGCATTAATAACAAAAGTAAAAAAAATAAAATTAAAACAAGTTTATAGCCAAAATAATTAAAGCCCGTACACTACATCAGATTTTAATCAGATTGTTAACCTATAAATGTTGGTAGCTTCACTGCTTCTTCTATGTTTATTTTTTTTTTATTTTTATAAAATTCTCGTAGATAATAAGTATTGTAAATGATATACACTGTTCATATGTACACAGTAATATATTCGATTTTATATTTATTCTTTAGTTTCCGATTGTTGTTATGATGGCCACACTTTAGTCGAAGTATCAAAATAAAGCGAGGACGAAATTAACTTAAATGCTTTATACTTCCACTTCCCAATTGAATGACAAATTTTGTTTGGTTGCAGAGATCTGACACTCTTTTAGATGTTAGTTGAAGTCTTATACGTGGAGACAAAAAAACAGTAATTCAATGTTAGCGATTTTATTATTACAATCAATGGGATCTGCTGTTCTGTTCATATTGACCTTTAACGTTGACCATATTAGGGTCTACAAATGTTACACATGCAATGTAATTTATAAATATTTCCACTAAACTGAATGATATATATAATTGAATGAAACTGAAGGAAAGCATTATTAAAACCTTCCTGTGTTGTGTCCATAATCTGAAGGTTGAATTTCGTGAATGACCTTCAAATGTTTTCTAATTAATAAATTAAACTACTTGACACGTCCGTATAAGATTTAAATGGTTTGTACACACATCATGTTTTTCTAAGTTGGAAGAAATAAAATATCAACGATAGGTGCGTCTTTGTCTGTTTGATCAGGTTAAAATAACGTGGATACCATCGAGGGTTTATCACGTGATTTGAGGGTTGTAATTAGCAAGCTTAGCGCTATGTACACGGATGGATATCCACTACTTTAATGGGTCGACGGTTTAATTTTATACAAGGAAGGGAATTAATATCTTGAAGCAAGACATTAGTACTAATTGATAGCGCTCTTGTGGTACAAGCACGCTCTTCAATGACGCAGCTGATTGTATCATGTGAAAACGGTCAAGTGTTCAATAAAAAATATCCATTTCATGGTCAAAAATGAAGTGAAGCATTGAAAAGTAAATGTTTGTTTGATCAGGAAAGGTATTGTACATTTCCCGGTGAAAATGACTACTTACAGTTTTAAATTGGTGCCTATTAAATACTAAATCGTTTGTTCTAAAGATTGGCGAGCAACATGTTGATGAAAATGTAAGTGTACGTAATTGAGATGCAAGAATCTGATAAAAGAAATGACACATGCCACTGTGTATTTGGTTGTACTCAGAAATCTGTATATTAATCTGCTGTCCAACTGTTATGATTGATTAGAGTTTAGAAGGTCATTTTGATCGCTTCGAGCTACCGCGGAAATGAAAATGATTTTACTTGTAATAAAAAAACTACTCCACAAGGAATAAGTGACATTAATTTTAGTTACTTATTTTGATAAGTTTAATATGTATTAGTGACATGCTATTTGCAAGTTTATTGTTTTATTTCAGGGAAATAAGTTCGAAACTTTTACATCCAAGTGTGCAAAACACTGTAATAGGTTGACTCTGGCATGAACCTTAAAAGTGTATACGACCAAAATAATACTCAAGTAGTAGATTTTGGCAAGTTTTTTCTTAAATTATTTCATACTAAAATTCTAACATACACAAAGCCGGGAGTGGCGGGCTGAACTACAAGACATTAATACACTATAGAATTATAAAACATTGCCCAATTGTTTATTTCATGTGCTTATTGTATTTTCATAAATTAATGTAATTTATATCATTTAGATTATACATATTATGATATAGTACTCATGCATTGATCTAGATTACGGCGTACAACATTGAGGTGTGTCTTTGTCATTATGATGACAACGGTATTCCATGTTCTTGGGGGATTTGTGGTAAAGTTTTGGGAAAGTTGACTCAATGTTGGATTTGATAAACAGAGGTTATTTTATAAGGTCTATGATTGGTGCAAAATATAGAAAAACACTGGTGATAACAATCTGATTGGTGGGTTCACACTTATAGGCTTAATCACTATCGTAGCTGAATGTACAACGTTGTTGTTTCAATATAAAGAGAAAGAGTCTCTTTCTGGAGTCCGAGAATGTCGCTCGGGTTGTCTCGGAGTTGCTATAAGGCAACTCTGTTAGATAGGGCGAGTTTAACAACAGTATCTACCTGGTGAGTGCAGTTATTATTATTGTACCTGTATCATTTTTGTAATATCATCATGTATGACATGTTGGTAACGAGTGGAAGCAGAAATATCATTGAATAAAACAGATTTGTTATCATCAACAACTACGTACGATTCTCATTTTTATAAAATGGACCAGACAGTGCTGCCATTATGAGATTTATAATTATATTATAAGTAATATATGCTACAAGTGTATATTCACGACATAACCAATTATTTCCAAATTAGTAAATGCACTTTGAGAGTTGCCTTCTCGAACATTTTGATAGATCGAATAAGAAAGCAAGTCATGTTGCATATAACAACATTTGTATTGTGTGTGCAACGCGAGTCGTTATTCTAATGTACCTTAGTGAGGATTCCTTTGCAGTTAAGTTGTGAAATAATACATATCTCTGGAAGAGTCCGAAACATTGTGTCATATACATGTATTCTGAATAATGACATATCTTGTAGTTTTAGATGCGGTATCTAGAGATGGTGGGGGATATGTTCAAATACTTAAGGTTTAATATATCTTATGGGTGGATCATGTTATCTATTTTACATCGGTTATTTTATATGGGAATTGCCTGAAATAAATTAATAAGAATATTAAATGTCTGTATGTACATGGTATCAGCCAATGTTGGGATAGAATATCCATTTATTCATTCATATGTTATAGTATGGCTGAATAAGCCAAGTCCTGAAATATCAGTTATCTAGGGTATAGTTATTTCATTGTAGTGAAACTAAGATTGATTTCATCAAAACGTATTAGTATGTTGCCTGATTTTGTCTGATTCCTTTGTATGAATAATATTGTAATGAATCGTTGAACCTGAGTAGTATTTCCCAGGTCAAACAACCATTTAGTTGTATCTGACAATAAAAGGTGTGTTTTTTTTTCTGAACGATTCATAAGATTCAAGTATATAATACAACTTTCTCTTCAATAATTAAAAATGAGACATTTTTAGAGCAGTAACACCCTAGATTCGGAATAAAGATGTGATTGCATGGTCACTGAATAAGCTAATCAGGTGATTTGTGGTTGAATGTAACATGTAGTTTATTCGGGTAAGTTTTTACTTGGTCATTGGCCCATATGTCGTCTATACAAAGAAGTCACGTAACACATGTACACTGTGACAATACACAACCCGCGAGAAAGTTCACTAAATTCGTATTGAAAGTACGGCTGCTCGACGTTTACTGGAACTTCGAACCTTACTATTAGCGTCTTCTTCGCCGTTCTTTACCCATCAGTAAAACATAACAAAAATTAATCTAATATGTATGTTTTAGTCGACGGTGCCCGTAGTTGTATTCGGTGACCTTATTGTTTCCTTCACA